TACACGCTCCTATGGAGTGCTCTTGCGGGAAGGAAACTACTCCAACCCACTTCATCCACTGTAGCCGCCACGCACAACACACGCGTAGGCTCAGAAAGTCAATGTCCCACGCTGACTTTGTCAAAAAGCTTCTCGGGCCCAAGTGCCACGAAAGCTTCAAAATATTTGCGCAGGAAACCGGCTGTTTTGATAGGCGACCTGCTCACTCATCCACTGCTCTCAGCGGGGATCAGATTAACTAGTCATTGCCACAACACATGACAAGAAAGGGAACGAGGCGAGAAGTGTCGTTTCTCTGAGGAAAGATTGTAGCTATTTGGATTTAGGGAAAAGGATTAATTTTTGATCTAGGAGTTGGAGTAGGTGGTGTCCGCGTCGTAATTTACTTCCTACTATTTCTGTAGCAAGTCCAGCGGTTGGAATGAGTTGGGCCTGTAAGCAGTGATCCCCGCCGGCTCCACCAGTCTTGTACCTGTAGTGGACCTAGAGCTTTAGCTTAGGACTTTAATATAATAAAAAATAAAAATAAAAAGACTAATTCCTCACCTTCCGGTGGTCCCGGTGTAATCGCTCAGTAGGCTTTGCATATCTGGGATAGCCAAGAAGAATTGCATCCGAATCGAAGTCGTAAGCAACCTCAAACATATCTCCGTTTAATGACTTCTCGACAATGCCTCTCTTATCATTCTCATCTTAGTCCTCAACCTCTTTCTAACCACGCATCATCTCGCCTCAACGACCTATAAAGAGGTTGCTCCCATTGCAAACAGGAGCTTTCCCCATTGATTACCAGCAAACTCTTACTACATATTTACGACGTTATTTACACCCGCAACAAGGAAATCAAGTCGAAAAATACAAATCCTGGGTCCTGGCTCATGGGGAACTGTTGCTCTAATGGGATAAACAACTCGAGGGAGAACGGGCGGCTGAGACGTGGAGCAAGAGGAGGATGAGGTCTCTAAAAACCATGCTGGGACTGACATTTTCGAGGGAGGCTCAATTCTGGAACGTTTGTGGGCGCCAAGACTAAAGTTTCGGCAATTCAGCCAGAACTTCTATTGTAGATGAGTCAACGGCGCTACCCAGTGCCCTGGACGGCACAAAAGAAGTTGGGATAAGCTACCGCACAGCAATCATGCTCTGTCAAGACTTTTCTGAAATTTCAGCGCGACCTCCAGGAAGGAGGCTAGAAAGGCAGAGGGTGAATTTCCCTAGGTACCCACAAGTCTGCAGCGCCCGGCTGGCCGACCTATCCGAACGCTTCAGAAGGATCACTTTGTCTTCGGATTTAGTCCCAATGTCGGTATTAGAAGAGCCCCGCACCCAGTAGTTTTTGCAAACTTTCCCGGCTGCCATACACCCGCAAATGGCCATCGTTTCGTTGGCTGGAGACGGGAGATAATGAAGGGCAAAGGGCTCCTCTAAGTGTATGATCGAACGAGGACTTGTGAGGGGAGGTACTGTTTGAGGGGGCTGTATGGGGGGCATAGGAGGGGATATACTACTGGTATAGGTATACATGGCATGTCGGCAGAGAGGACATGCATATCCTACATAGTCACTGACTCAGATAGGAAAATAAAATGAATAAAAAAAATATTCCCCAAAATAAAAAAACTACCTATCAGTGTGTAGAACAAAATCTTCAGTTACCGCAAAATTCATATTTTGCCCATGACGGACAGCCATTCAGTTCAGTATTTGCCCGAAGATATTTGCTTCCTTTCCTAAGGAATCCTCTCAAAAAAAATAAAAAAAGGTATTATTAAAAACGGCGTGCGCGGGAGATAGTCTCCAAAGAGTCTTCTGCCCCAGTTAGCCGTAATCTAGACACCGGGACCTCACGAAGTGCGCATATCCATCTACATCTCCCTTTGTAAAATTGGAGGCTGACCTGATCCAATCCACCATCTCCGTATCGGGTTTTGGTTTCGCTCCAGAAACTCTTCGGATGGCTTTTCCTCCATGATCAAGGGTTGGTGATGAGTAGGGCTCCGACCCTACCATCTGATCTGATCGTGGTTAGCTTCATGGCAATAGTGATAGGGTGTTGTGTTGAGAGGTGAAGACGATGCGAACGCGGGAGCGATTGGGAATCCTCATCAAAGTGAGAATACTGAATGCGATTTTTCCTGACTGTCCCTTGTGTACAGAGCATGGGGAGCGCTTAGACTGGCACCGCTGGAAGGTGGAGAATTCGTCTTAGTTGCCTATACAGCGCAGTTCTCGACTCAGACAAAACGAAAATTCGAATAATGAAGCGGTCGAGAATTGGACGTTGACAGGCGTAGATGGAAACTGCCAAAGGGCCAAGCTCACCCGTAATTAAACTAGGAGGTAGGGAGACGCATTTGACATGAATCGCAAGCTTGCAGTTCCTTGAATACTATCTGGCGTAAAAATGTAGACCGTTAATTTCGTTATCCCGACAAAATCTCCAGAAAAAGGCTTAGTCCGCGGGGAAAGCTATTTATTTCTGTAACTTGTACGTGAAGTATTTTTTGGAGGCGTAGTCTTTCAAAGCCACTGTCTAATTCAAAAATCCTTTTGACTAATAGACGAACCCACATTCATGACTGAATTACGGCTCTAAGGGTCCTTCATAGTCATATACTCGGTAGGGACTTTAATTCTATTCTATTCTACGGCTCTAAGATTTTCATATTAAATTCCTTCGACACAAATACATGTCTCCCACATTTTGAATTACTCCATGTGCATGAAGCTATCTATCTACAGCACCAAATAACTTTAAGTGTACATAATAGCTGACCTCTTGGTTGAGTCACTGATACTATGCCCTCCATCCCTAAATACTACTGTGACATATGTTCTTTTACGTAGAACAGTCCTTCATAGTCATAGACTCAGTAGAGACTTAAATTTAATTCTATTATTGTAAATGTGTCAGTGCGTAGCAGGGATAACACACTCTTGATGTATGAGGCTAGCCATGTTGGTCGCGTGGAAGCGAGATTGAGTGTGGTACTAATAGAAGACTTACTCCCGTTAGATTCTAGAGCCAGTTAATCTAAAACCCTATTGAACCTACCTTCTTGCTTCCCTTGCACATTAGTACTCTGTCGGTGATAATTACACAGTAGGGTGCTTCTTTTTAACATCTATCCTATTTTACGTAGAACAATCAACACTTCTCTGTGAGTACCCACCAAAGGAGAGTTTCAGAACCTTTAATTAAATGAGCATACCTTCGTCATACATGCATACCAGCATCGCGAGAAATATGGTCGAGTCTTTCTGGCTTCGAACCAGCGATCTCCTGTCTCGGATGGACGACATGAGACTATGCTATCTAGGCTCCTCTCGAGAGACCAGTCTGGATTCTAATCACAGCGACATCTAGCCGCGCCTGCGCTTTCACTACTAAGCTCGTAACACGCGCAGTTGCATTCAGTGTGAAAGTCTCAGTCTCAAAAATCGAAATTCCGCTTCTTCCGAGACCGTATAAATCCTCAGTATTTAATTTTCTATCTGTACTGATCTCTCTCACATTCATCTCGAGAACTGCCTCGCAATATTTGTGTCATCCGACGGGTATTATTTTTGTCGCGGGCGTGTACATAGAAGCTATCTGAGTCCATAGACTTAGTTAACGAGAGGGTTGGTCGTTGAGATTAGAATGCATTAATTCGAACTCGTAGATCGGATGAAATCTTGGACGGGAGTGAAAGATTTACGTGGTAGATAGTCTTGAATCATTTCCCAAGGGACCAGCTTTTACATTATGTAAAACTTGACTGAGCTCGATTCTAGGAGAATATTTCACTTCCAGGTTCGCAGAGAATACCGCTGTGTGTTGTTCAGTCTTCGTACCCCTACTCTTTAACTGATGGACTTACAGGGTATGAGATACGGAGAGATCATCCTAAGTTGGATTTTTTTTTTTTTTTGCATCAGATTTTAATTGCATATGCAGCTATCTAGCTATGACACAATATCAAAGAAAAGTAGAGAAAAGATGACTCAGTTTACAATAGGAGCACTCATGCCTCAGATTTCATTTGCAAGTACCACTGCGAAGTTATGGTGGCTTTTTCTTCACCCCAAGTCAACCCTCATCCGTGAATACCCACCCAGGGGAACGTCTCAAAAACCCTGAGTTATCCAGACATGCCTATGTCATCCATCAACTTTTCTCCGCGCGAAATGTAATCTGAGGTGTCTCCTTCCCAAGTGGAGTAGGTGCCCATGCTACTCAAACCATACCAGAGAACACCACCAGGAGGCGGACAACAACTCCTTCCATCGTTGGCTTGTGTTTATAGTGTCAGCTGCACTCTCGCAAGCGAAGTCTTGGCGCGCACAAAGCTCAATTCGTAAAACTCTTTCCAAAATTCGAAATTTCACGCCCGTCGAGAATGTATCCCTCTTCTGCATCATCTTGTAAACTTGTCCTGATCCCTCTCACGTCCGTCCCAAAGAGCTATCTCCCAAAATTGTGCTCCACGCTTTGCTTCCTCCGTCGGGTGTAAATATCGGCGTGGGCGTGTATTTGGTGACCTCCTAAGTTGGATATGCAGGTATCGACAAGACTTGTGAGTGAACTGAGGCATAACGTCAGGTACGAGCCACAAGGCGTGATCGTTGTCCACTCAGCTTACAGGTCACTGGTTGATAATGTGACATTACAATACCTCGATGACTGAAAGCCTAGCCTTGATTAGTCATTTGTGTTTCTTAGTCACCATAAAGCCACATGATTTGGTGCATAGGCGTAAGCCACTTTGACCAGTAACGCGCTTTCTTTTCTACAGGGAAGAGATTGGTAACGGAGGCTTTATAGAATCAGGTCTTACCTCCCCCAGCCTTGCAACACGGCTTGACTCTTAATGTTTGTGAGGATAATGGCTGGCGAACCTCAAGTGTAAATTTTTCAAAAGTAAAGTCTTTCATTTGAAGTTGCCAGGTCCCCGATTATCTAAGACGCAGTAGGGTCTATTACACAAATCTAATCTAACCCCTAGTCCCACAGTCTTTCATTTGGTAAAGCTGCTAGTAGCTTCCACATTGACTACCAGAATACTTGACCTTATAGGCTGGCGCTGATGAGCCCTGTCCCTCCCCCGCGCAAACACGCTACCTTTACGGACAGGAAGCCCGGAGTAAAAGGTCCTATCGTGGTGTGGATATGGCATTTGCTTAAAACACAATGGTCACTGAAGCGTCCATGGGTGGCCCTGCAATACCGATAGAGTGGGGCCGGGCAATTCCGAATCAAGACTGGCCTGCCCCACGCCTTTCATTAAGAGAGATATGCAGGAAGGCCTAAACTTCTGGAAAAAAGGGCACGATACATATAGTCATACACAATGTCCGCAGTGAGTATGATTGGAAAAGTTGTAAGGTCGAGAATTTCGACGCGGTGAGGCATCAGGACTGAGTATTGTGGCACCAAACAAGTGCCAGTGTGGGAGTGTTAGATTAGCATCAGGAACTAGTTGCTTGATCCAATTTACATGAGCCAAAGCAGACAATTGCAATCTTACGGGGAGCTGGCGGCATCATGCTGTTGCTGAAACTTTGCCTAAGCAACGCCGAGCCTTAAAATGTTGGTAATATAGCCTGACGAAGCTTTGTCGTCTCTCTTCCTGGAGCTCGGAGTGTAGCGTAAGCTAGATTTTGCATCTTTCGAGGGTCAAATGGTATCGTATCTGTCAAGAGGATGTCAAGCGGGTAATGAGCTCTATGTTCCGAAAATAACATCGCACGATGCCGACTAGAAGCATTAAATAATGAGCCGGCGTGATGTTTGAAACCGTGTCAAGCAAATCTGAAGCAACGGTTAAGATAAAGAGTCGTTGTTCAACACCATATACCTTACATAAATTGAGGAAGGCAATAGCTGTCCAACTGAAGTCAGAGGAGAATAGGCACGGCGTGGTGCGAGAGGGAGACGTTTGTGGATTATAGATTGAGCCTGGAGAAACGGAGATAGGATCGACGTATGATCGGCCGCCGGGAAGAATTTGGCTTCTCAATTGATCATCGCCCGCCCTGCAGGAGCCACCTCAACCGTCTCCAGGGAGCAATGGACGCGCTTCTAGAGCCCGAGGCGGAAGTGATGCCTGTAGCCCATGAACAATCTCTGGAAGATCTTGAGCTCTGCATGCCCAGGTCTACTTCAATTTCGCGCTGGACATTGTCTCTACAGCTGTTCGCCTAAGCATTAGTGAAAGTGCCTCCCTTCGCCTTGATAGACTAAATATCTTCAGTGACACATTCAATGGAATAGAACCGTGCCGGCATCTAGTAACTGGTAGATGTGTGACTAGGCATCGACGAGGGTGGTCGTATGATATCTGGGGCGGAGCCGACTCGCGGGGGAACGAGTCGAAGGAAAATCAAAAAACCCCCCGTTTCGTAACGTCCCATCTAGGTTGATACCTCAGGACAAATTCAAGATTCTGGCCAACCTTGATTTAGCACGCCTCCCCGTCCACCGTACGCTTCCAAAGAAAACTTCTCAACTCACTTGACGCTCTCCCGCCGAAACGAGTCAGGGCGCATCCAACGTCCAATTAAACTTCGAACTTGCATATGAAAATCTATGCGAATTAGTTCAACTCTTCTTCAATGTGAATTAAGGGCGCTCAACACTGCCACACTTGAAGTCAATTAGATATGTCTCGGCTGTGAGCCCTACCAACTTATTTGCTGGTATAGGCTCGGCCTAGGAACTTTAGGCTCGATACAGTTGCTGTCTGTTCTTCGCCATACCACCATCTCTCTCCCTCTCAATTACGCCATGATTACACCGGAGTGGTACGGTCGAAGAGGCAGGCGTATTTTATTGCGCCAGACCCAACCAGAATTTCCTCCCACCACATCAACAGTGACCCCACAACCGACATCGACCCAAGGTTCATTGGATCTTCATGATACCGCCACCACCCACACTCCCATAATCGCCGTAAGTTGCTCGAAGTCGACTATATCGAGATGATGCACTAGGCTGACCACGACTGATAGATAACAGCAGCCTCGCTGGCTGCGATTATACTTGTAATCTGTGTCATTACTTTTCTTCGGAGCTACCGCGAAAAAAACCATGCACAAAATGAAAAACCTAATAATTTCTTAATGCGTTTACGACAAAGATGGAGCAAAAATCCCAGCAGATATGAGATTCCAGGCACCACTGAACAAACAGAGACTACGATTAGACCTACTACAACAAATGCAGCCACAGAAGGCTCCGTAGAAATGGGAAATAGACTCAGCAGAGACGCAGTTTCCATTCGATCTGTCATCACCCTTCCAGCATATATTCAGACCGCAAGGCAGAACGAATGCGTTTTAGGGCGAGAAGGAGAACGAGCTGGGATCGACGTCGTGGTTGAATTCCCCGACTTGGCCGAAGAAGAACAGCGGAGGGAAGATGAAATGGAGGCCTTGTACCAAGTGCGCCTCGCTCGTCGACGTGAGAATGAAGCTAGAGAAGAACGACGAAGGCACAGGCGAGATGCTCGAGAACGAGGTGAATGTGTTGAAGCAAGAGATATAGAAGAAAGCGCGCAACGCGCAAGCAACGGCTCATCTGGACAAACAATTGAAGAACTCCGAGCCGAGCATGACCGCCTCAAAAGGTTGCGACAGCGTACGGTGTCTGTTGTATCCTACGCCGAAATTGGAGTTGCCCGACACGATGGCACGCGTCTCAGTATCAACAGTCAAGAGAATGAACGAACAGGTTTGCTGGGAGAAGCAGGCAATGCATCTCCATGGGGTCTAGCCCACCGACCCGGATCTATTGTTAGTAATCACACGACAAATTCCGAGATGCATCTCAATCCTACGGGAACCGGGGATATTACCTCCTCCCCACCTCAGTCACACAGCTGGAATAACTCCAGGACGAGCTTGAATAGAAGACGAGCCTCTGATATAGGTGCTATCAGCCATCTAAGTACTTATAACAACAGTAATGCATCGCCAACAGGTTTACCTGAATATGAGAATATTCCTCTCGCTGATCCGGTTCAGCCAATGGAGCCACTACCAATGTATTCTGGCCCTATCGGTAGAGGCACTCAATGGCGTTCCTCGGGAATTGAAAACGAGACGGCATCGATCTATGTAGGAGAAAGTAGTACTAGCAGAGAAGCATGGAGGACAGGCGATACTGCACACACCACTTCTAACTCTCGGAGGAACAGTAATAGTGTTCATTCACGGAGAAATAGTACTAGCATTCAGTCGCGAAGAAATAGCACCAGCTACAAAGCCCAAATGGGTCTAAGGGCTGGTGCAGTGACTTCATCGATCTCCAATTCAAAGTCAGAGCACTTGCCTAGTATTGAGGTGGATCCTGGAAGCCCTGCCTAAGATTCGGTGTTGTGGTTGTCATGAGAAAATACCCTTAAAATTTGGAGCGAATGATTAATGCGTAATGAAAGGAAAGAAGAATCCGCAAACTGTCTAATGAAAAACAGAGGCGAGAACGGAAATATAAAGCCGTATATTTTGTAAATAAGCGTGGCGTATTCGGAATCGGTCAATGGCTACATGAATTATGGAGGTGGCGTTGTACATACAGACTTTCACCCTCGTGCATAGAATATATACTGACTCCACTTTACAACTCCGTGATTGAATGTATCGGTCGAATTACGCCCGTGAATCCTTGCAACGATCTACTCATTGATGTGAACAAATACTTCACTGCACAAGCTCTGTTAGAGTTTTGCCAACGACGTGTAGGGGGAGGTTGAAATTTCAGCCAATTAGAGATATTTCTTCCCAACTAGGAAAGTAAGGTACGTTAGGTGAGTAGCCAACGATGCTGCATGGAATATAGTTGGAGGAAAATTTTACGAAGATGGAGGACTAGAACACCTGGCGTGCACCCAGCCATTTAATCATAGCCTATGATGAACATTTTCGGTGCAGGGTAGGAGGGTTTTGGACAGAAAAATGCCCCAGATTCTATTCGCACATATAATGAAGTTCATTTATAAGATTACAGTCAACTCGCGCTTCGAAGAATCTAATAGATGGAGGCTTCGTGGCTTCAAGGTTATCCAAGCATACCTGCAGCAATCCGCACTCGAGCACGTTGAGTGATGAGACGGCACTTTACTGTAAATGAAACAGCCAGCTTCCGTCTCTAGCGGAATCAGACTTCATGATCTCCCGACGCCTCGCGCGCGTGACTCCGAATTGGTGCGGGCGGGTAAGAGGAGCTGCGCCTTCTGCGTCTCGCCGTAGTTCTAGGCGACAACTTGGGTTCCCCGCGTGCGTGGACCCGTGACAATTTTCGCAGTTGACCCTTGCATGCCCGCATAGATGGGCACTCACCTTGGTCATCCACAACTCTTTGCCCTGGAGGGCAAGACTGAACACCTGTGCGCGGTGTCCTCTACGAACCTGGGAGTGAAATTTTCTCCCAGAGCCAAGTTCAGTCAAACTTCGCAATACCGAACAAGTTGGCCCACGAGGCAATGATTCAAATTACTCCACCATATCAATCTTTCACTCCCAACGAAATCGATTCCTACCTAAGCCTCATCAAGTTTACAAGTACGACCTAGTACATCCTCATCCCAATGACCATACCTCTCTTCGACCTTCTCTGGCCTCAGTTGACCACCAAATACACGCCAACGCCGACACTTACACCCAACGGAGGAAACGAAGCATGGCGCACAAATCTGAATGACAGTTCTTTGGGATGGACGTGAGAGGAATCAGGACAAGTTTACAAGATGATGCGGAGGAAGGATATAACGAAGGGCGTGAGATTCCGAATTTTGGCAAGGAGTTTTTACAAATTTAGCTTTGTGCGTGCCAAGCCTTCGGTTGCGAGACTGCAGCTGACACTATGAAAATAAGCCGACGATGGAAGGTGTTGTGATCCGCCTCCTGGTGATGTTCTCTGGTATAGTTTGAGTAGCCTGGGCACCTACTCCACTTGGGAAGGAGACATCTCAGATCATATTTCGCGCGGAGAGAAGTTGAATGATGATGGAGGCATGTCTGGATAACTCAGGGTTTTTGAGACGTTCCCCTGGGTGGGTATTCACGGATGAGGGTTGACTTGGGGTGAAGAAAAAGCCACCATAACTTTGCAGTGGTACTTGCAAATGAAATCCGAGGCATGAGTGCTCTTCCTTTACGTTGAATCATCTATTTTGTACTTTTCTTTGATATTGTGTCATAGCTAGATAGCTGCATATGCAATTAAAATCTGATGCAAAAAAAAAAAGAAACACAACCACAATTTTTTGAAATTCGAAATTTTGAACCTTCCCTTTTTTCCCCCCTTTCGCGCTCGTCGCATTCCCTCATTAAATTGTAATCGAGTCACTGGCATTTTCATCATGCCACCTGTTCGAAAAAAGCTCTCCAACTCAATGTTGGACAACGCGACAGTGTTGTGATGTATGAGCACTGGACTATGGTTGGGAGTGGACTTAGAGACAGTACAATAGTTGATGTCACAGGTAATCTATGTGAGATGACTCAGGAATAGAGTTTATATTCTAGAGTATGAATATGAAGAGAAGTGAATGTATGTATATCACTGTGGGCGGTTCTCGACCAGTTTTCTATCTACATGTTGGACTTTACCGAGGACCGCCATTATCCGTGCACAATCAATCCAGTGCCTGATCACAACTCCTAGAGATCAGCCTTCCTCATTCGCTCGATACAATCTCATGACCAACCACCGATGTCTAACCATCGCACAAGCATAGCGACATCGTCGATTAGTAGAATAGTACATGCATGAATGTGCAGAGCAAATGCATGTATATGGATCACAACAGAGAGTCCGCCCGAGGGCTTCTGCAAAAACATCTGGCCTCGCGCAAAAATTATCAAGTTTATTTGCAAGTGAGGCCTTTATCCCTGGGAAGTCTTCCATACTTCCCGATCATGAGATGACTGATTCTGACCCAATCAGAACAGAAACAAATGGTCAGCAGACCGCGAAACCCGCCGAGCTGGCCCCCGAGGCAAGCAGTTCCAGGAAAGGAAAGGAAGTCGTCCGAGAGAAGACGACTGAACAAGCAGAAACATCTGCAAGAAAATTCACTGTGCCAGCCTCAAAAGGCGCAGCTTCGACATCAGCACCGGAATATCCACCGGAGCTGCAATCAGTGATGGAGGCCGAGAAGCGTCGCACGACGCAAATCAAGGCCCGTTTATCAATCTGTCCCACTGCTTATTGCAGTGTTAAAGCAGCACTTTCGCCTCTCTCGATTGGCGAGAATAAAGAATTCGTAGACGGTATAAAAGTCTACTTACGGCCGGCCATTGGCCAGTTTGTACAATCAGGCCCAGGGACCACACAACCGATTCTCCCTGCTCGCCCCAATAACCCTCTTCCGACGAGGGCTCCAGAAATTAGGGCTCAAAATCCTTCGACGATCCAGGCTCTGGCACCAAAGACGACTTGGGCCACAGTAGCCCGTGCAGGTCTAGGCCGCAGCGCCGGGCCGTCGACTACAAAGGCAGCACCGCCCGCCCTAAAAGCAAAAAGTGCCAACCCGAGGACAAAAGTCGACGCGAGACTTTTTCTACCCCTCAAAGTTAACCACCCCCACCGACTCCTGTCACCAGCTGGCGTAAGGTTAGCTGTGTCACAGGTGCTTGGTACCGCTGCCGACGACATCACGTTGGCTCAGCGGGTCAAAACAGGCTTTGCACTAACAGCAAAGAATGAACTCGCTCGGAAAGAGCTCCCAGATTCCTCCATGTCACGGAGCGAATCTGGAATCAAACTGGAACCAGCGTCAAATCTGGTTGCCTTGCAAATTGCCACCATACCGGTGACAATAAACACACTTGCAGGTTCCATCGAGATCACGGCAAAGATGGTTGCTGACGAAGTCACGCGAGTGACGAAATCGGTCCCGTTTCTTGTCCGTCCGCAAGGGTACTCCAAGCCTGGGGCGTCATACTAGAACTGGCAAGCCCTCTTTCCTCGCGAGTCCACGCCCCGACCTGGATTCCGCCTCTTCGACGATTCTGGAGCTGCGAAGCTCTTCCGACCTCGTCACCAACTCGAACAGTGCAAACGTTGTCTTGGATATCACGCCAGCCGCGGATGCTCCCGCGCTCCAGCTTGCTGGAACTGCGGCTCAAACATGCACTTGGAAGTGGAGTGCAAGGCCCTCACACGATGTCGCAATTGTGGGGGACCTCACCGATCGGACTCTCGGCACTGCCAAGCTAGACACAGAAAAGATGGACCGGTGACCAAGGAACAGCTCGCAGCAATTCGCAGAGTCGAGCAAGAAAGAAATGCAGACTTTGCCCGTGTCAAAGCTGCATACAAAAAGGCCGAAGAGGCGAGGAACGCCTCTGCGAAGGACGTCTCCATGGCGGAGGGATCGTGTTTCGGAATTCTGGAAACCGAAGAAGAAGTTTGAGGACTCGGCAGTCCATGGTGAAGTCTACAACAACTTTCACAACAAAAAGCAGGAAACCGACCGACAGCAAAGGTTACCTGAGAGCTCATATTTTGCTCTCAGCGGATTTTAGGAAAAGTCACTTGGAAGATGTGACAGGGAAGGAAACGGGCGAGAAGCGCGGGATCTGGACCACATATGAAATTCTTCTAAATTATTGTTATTTTTTTTGATTTACACCTTGATTTTAGTTTTGATTGAAGTTTTTGTTGAAGTGTCAGCCTTACGCTGTTTTATGTCACATGACTTTAACCTGTAGCGTTTACATTACTTTCTAGCGTTGTATACTAGCTATTATTATACCTGTAACATACACATCAATTAACTTATATTACATTCTATATACGTCCTTTAAGAGATTATGAGACCAAATTGCTCATTAAGTTAAGTGTAGTTATCAGTTGTCCAAATTTTATATATACCTACTGCCACAGTGTTGCACTCAAATTTATATTTGCTGAAGAAGTTCTAGCAATATAGTGTTTTAGGCAGTTTTATCAGGTACATCAGATAGGTCGATTGACGCGTCATATATGCCAGTCTTAAGATTAAAAGAGCTTTCAGCGACCCAATACTCAATAAATTGAGAAGAATATTTTGGAGCAATGTCACAAGACGGATCCCTCTACCTATCATCAAATCTCAAGCTTACAGGCGAGGAAAACTATTCAACATGGAAGAATAGTATCATAAACCTAGCTTTGATTCACGATTTGTCAGATCATTTTCACCCTCTAGCTCCAGAACCGCCTGCCAAAATAAATATATTCGACGAAAAACTAAAAGCAGAAGACATCGAAGAATATAAAGCGTTGGCTAAAAAGGATGCAAAGATGAAGTTGATAATAACAGGAAATATGTCGATGTTTCTGGTAAGACAAGTTGAAAATCTCGAGAGTGCCAAGTCAA